TGTGATGAAGAAATAAATATTAATATACTATATTGCTTTATTGTTATAGAAGCTTACAGCTGTTATATTCTAATAGTTAAAGGAATAGTAAAATGTAAATTAAGTTGATTTTGTTCAATAGATAATGATTTTTAACAAAAATAATGAATCATGTTTTATCCAATAATAAATCATCTAAAATGAAGCGAGAAATATATTTTTCACATTTTTCCTTTGAAACAATGCGCTAAATACTGCAAAATTCGAGTATTTCTTCGTTCTATTTTTCTATGAAAATATCGCGAAAATTCTAAGATATACAGTATGTTACCACAAATAAATCAGGCTCAATCGTACATCTCAATTTAGGATAAGTGTCTACACCCCACCCCCATGCCCATACGTATTTTTGTTTGTTGATTTTTGTAAAAATTAGATTAACACGAAATTAATGAAACCACCCTTTTCGAAATGTTATTTTACAAGCATCTAAACCAAATTGAGAACACTATTTTAAAATTATAATTAAAACAAAAAAAATAAAATTTCTCTTAATAAAAACCAGTATATTAACATAAGTTATCAAAATAATTCCAGAAATCAATCTCAAAATCAATATTATTATCGAATTTCTGAAAAATACATAATATAATTTATTTATTAGATCTGAAATGCTTGCTTGCTTAGGAGATACATAAGTCAAAACAAAAGGAAAATTCTACGTCATGAATTAGATATCAGTCAAATTCAAATTGCGGATGGATGATGCTATGTAAAAAAATAATATTGGTAGATTATTTTTTTTAAAAAATTTTAAGTATTTAAAGAAATGTTTTTATTTTTTTTATCCCTCCTAACCAACTATAGATTTATCAATTGATAAGATCAATTTAATGTGTTTAAAAACAAATTCATTAGGTATCAATTAAAAAAAAAAATTGTAGAAACAGGATATAATATATATTACGCTGTAAATTACAATAGTTAATTTAATTTTAATTTATATCTATGACCATAAGTAATGTTTTACCTTTAATCGTGTCAACAAAATTTAGCAGATATACCGTAAACGATTGACTAAAGTATCCCCCATAGTATTGTATCATACCCATAAATTTGATGTAAAAGACCTGGGTATTATACATGAAGAGTTCGGACCTTTTCTTGCAAAATTTGTATGGTATCCGAGGTATAATACTTCCGGGTACTATGCTTAAGGGTATTATACTTCATATATCGGTATGTCTTAGTTCGGAACTTTATCATATTAACCGAATTAAATATAACAAAAATTATTTTATTTTTTTAATATTCATTCTAATAATCAGGAACTTCTTGTTCTTCGTACTCATTAATATCATATTCAACTTATTATCGCTATCACCATGACTATTACTTTCTTTATTGCTACTATCACTTTTGTAAATTTGTTTTTTCATGACCGGACCGGTAGTTCTTATATTAAAAGTTGAAGTGCCACGGTGATCCAAAGTTTTTGAATATATGGTAGATCAAATGTAACAGGTGTTTCACCCATATTGCCGATTTATTTTAAAGGATAATCATGAAACTTAAGAAATTCTGTTTTTTTCTATAAGATCATCAGGAAGATGTTGCGCAATATGTGTTCTTCTTCTTGTTGAAAGGTTATTTCTTTTCTAAATACTTCTAACCATGCCTCTGAAAATTTAAATTGAGTAATAATTAGATATAGAACTACCCATTTTTTTACTTAGCAATTAACTTTGCTTTTCAAATCTGATACCATTCAAAAAGAATTTTTTCAAATTCTGGAAGCGCAGCATCTTTATCTTTATGGAGTTTTTGTATATGCGGTGCTACATTTTCAAGTTGAGATTTTTGGTTCATCCAATAACGAATTTGTTTTAGTTCTACATTAAATCTTCTTGCTTCTAAACGTTTACTACCACATTGTATAGTATGTTTTAATATAAACAACTTTTCACGAGCACATCATTGCCGTTTACTTTTTTCTGTCACTCGTGCTCTTTATTTTTATCTCGATGAACAACCATATTATTAATTAAAATACTAAAAGGGCTAAGGTAAGTGAGCAAAATAATGATTTTTTTCTTTGTTTAAGACGTGTTAAAAAAATTTTTAAGGTTGCACCTCCTCTTAAACCAAAGAAGTATTCTCTTCCCCATAGTATAGTACCCTCTGAAATTCCCAAATTTTTATTATACCCGGGTGATCTTAGTCGAATGGAGTTATATGATCACCATGGAAATCGAAAGAAAAATCACTTATATGAAGTGAAATTTGTTAATACATACTCATTAATAGAAAGTGACATATATAAAAATTGTCCGGCGTTCACATAAAACGTAAACAATATGGTTAATTTCTAATAAACATTAATTTTTTATATTCCAGTATTAGTTATTAGAAGCCGTGTTATTTTTCAATATCAAGAATTAGATTAGGGTATTGACATATATTACCTAATAATTTTATTATTTTACCTAATATTTGGTTATTCGTTTGAAAAATTTGACGAATATACAGAAATTTTATACAAATTTTTAGTAATATAAATTTTGAACCCTAATACAAGAATTTAAATTTAAATTTACTCTTTATTTATTTATTATAATATGAAAAATAATGATATGAAAATGTTATGAAAATATGACCAATTCAAATATTAATATTTTAACTACTTTAATCATTAGTGAAAATGTCGTGCGATAAACTTCGCCATTAATTTCATTCTTTGCTGTTACGACAGTACTTTCCATAGATGCGAAACGTAAAGATATCAGCACAGGACGATTCAGTCCCAAATGAGTGTCAGGCAAATCAATAGTGAAATTACATAAACTTTTCATCTCTGGTTCATCACAAAATGTTGCATTATATTTGGTGGTATAAAAAAATTTAAATAATATGGACGTTTGATTTGGGTAAATTGGTAACATAATCTTTGAAAAAACTCTTCATTTACATCAACCTCTGTTCTTTTTCTAGCCAACAACATAAACTTATAGATGCGACCATCTGACGATATACGAGATGGTGGATCACCGATTTCTTAACATTTAAAAGAATTTAATTTGGGTTATACATTTTGGTTAATTTTTGTGGACACTTACCCATTTTTCAGAAACCTCAACTCCATAAGTCCATTTTAATACTCTAGTGGTTACAGTTTTCATATCAAGACCATATTCGCAGGCGCCCCTTACAATTGCAGCAGCTGGGCTAGGTGGAACTGAAATATGAAATAATATATATTTATCGTTTTATTTTATTTTATTTTATTTTTTTTTTTTAAAAAAAAGATTTTGAAATTAAAAATAAAATGAGCATACTTGATATTTCTAAAATATTCCCAAATTTCTCTTTATTTCTATACTGAACATATTTTGATTCACTGAAACCTCCAACTAAAACAACACCGAAAAGTTCGAACATCTGTATAACTGCATTTCGATCAACCTCAAAATCTTGTTAATAACCGGATCAAAAAACGATTTCACGGTATCAAAATCAAGATCAATAAGCCATTCATCAACTTCTGACAGTTGCTCCCTTTCTGGTCCAGTGACATATTGCTTAATTGCAAGACATTTTTTCTCAATATACAATTCAATATCTTTGAATTTGGACTTCTCACCAGTGAATAGAATTTTAATTATAGGACAAAAGAATTTATGCACAAGATAATTAATTTGACCATAGTGTTTCTCCTTTAACATATTCATTGTATATTTCCTACTCTACCCTCGAGAAATTTTAGGAACTCGTCATCGACGTAGGTACCACCGCAAAAATCACCTGTTCGTTCGGTTGTTTCTGCTAATCGATTATCAGCTAACAATTCTCTAACTGTCAAATCCACAGTTCCTCCACCACAATCGACGACCAAATATTTTGCTAAGTTAAATAACCCAATAAAAATTTTATTTATATTTTCATAATTATAAGGTAAGATAAGTTGAAATTACTATTAACAAATACCTCCAGTCGTTAATTTGAGTTCTTTCAACCTATTCATGCAATGAATCGCAGCAGCTTCCGCTAAAGATAAGAACAAGATATTAGAAAAATAAAATCTTTTATATTTCATTTTTTGAAAATTAACACTCCTCTTACGTTCAGTAGTAAATTGAAGATTTAGTGTGCCAATAGATTGTATCAAGCCGGCATTGTATATGCACCTTCTCATAATTGTCTTAGAATTCTCGTTGAATTCTAAATTATAATTATAATGATTATCGTTAAAAATTTGCGTATATATAATTTATTCTGTATAAGAACTTATAAATTTACCGGCAGATACGGTGAAAACAAGTCGAACATTATTGTAAAAATTAATTCCGGGCCAATGATTCTCGATTCTCTCTATCATCGTCTAAAAATTAGTTCAATTAGATCAATCCAATAGCGTATAACAAAGAATCACAATTTATTTTTATCATCGTGCCTTTCCTTTTTTTAAAAAAAAAATAATTAGGAATGAAAAAAGTAAGTTTATTTTTATTTTAAGAATCAATCAAGTGATATATATGTAAGAAAAAACAAAGTCAATATCCATTTGACGAAGATAATCGGTTATCGCTTTTTCAAAAGTAATTCCAGATGGTAATTTTGGCTTTTTGCTTTCAGGAACATCTCCTAAATAAAATTTAAAGTATTCAACAGGCCTTTGTAGTTTATTGTTAAATTTTTTCCTTCTACTTGGTTCAGAACTTAAGGCATCAGCTCCCCAAGTGACAACTCCATTGTTTTCGTCGTATTGTAATACAGTATTGGTTTTATTAGTACTTTTTAAATCCCAAAGACATAATGAAGATAATGAATTTTATAAAATGTTGGAAGAAATTAGATTTGGAAAAATATCAAATGCATCCTGGACAAAACTTATAGAAAAAGATACAAATTATAATAATAATCAATCTTCAGATTCATTATTATTAACAACACATATTGTTGGATATTGTGAAACATCAAAACAAATTAACAATACAATTTGCAACCTACTTCCAATTAATAATAAAAAATATTTATTAGCAGAAGCTATAGATATTATAGAAGGTAAACAAGTATCACCTGAACTTGTTCAAACAGAATTTAAAACAAAACAAATATGCCAGCAACAGTTAGACTCCAACAAGGTGCACGAGTTATATATCTAAATAACTCATTAATTAAAGAAGATATATGCAATAGAACTATTGGTGTAATCACTAATATAGATAAACAACAACCAAGTGTACAAATAGCATTTTATGTACATAGTACAATTATTCAAAAATGGATTACAAGAGAAACATTCTACTTTTATTCAGGGGATCAATATGTATCTAAAATATAGTTGTTATTATAAAACTCATTTTCTTTAACAGTTCGTAAAACACAGGATCTTACCTTATATTCCATTTCAATAGATCTTAGCCAACTATTTACACCTGGTCAAATATATATAGCAATCAGCAGATGTTCAAAATGGAAATATGTTCAAATAATAAATTTAGATAAAAATTCAAATTTATTTTATTAATTTAAATTAATAATTTTAAATTTTGTTATAAAATGATTTACTTAAATAATAAACTATTGAAAATCTATCTTTTAGAATATTTAAATTAAAATGTTCTAAAGAGCAGATCTTAATAAAATGATATAACAACATTTAACCTTTACTACAATAGCTATTTCACTCAAAATCGAATATTTACCTTCAAAATCCCCAAAAATTACTATTAAATAAAATAAATATTTATAATTATTGTTATTTTTATGAAAATTAATAACACTTTATCTTATTAAATTTAATTTATCATTTTCTTCTAATATACTTAAATTTATGGCAAAACTTTTAAAAAATGATAAATTAGTTTTAATATTTGAAAAATCTATTAAAATTATCATACAATTCAGAAAAATTAATTTTAATTAAAATTTTTATAAATCTATAATTAATGAAATGATTTATATAATTATTTAAAAATAATATAGAATTTGATATAATAATAAATATTACATTTTCTTTTAATTTATTTAAAATTAAAAGAATAATATAACATATAATTATATAAATTTAACTAAACGATAATATTTTTTTCAATAGTAAGTAACATATAATTATTATGTTCTCATATTGTTATATAATCACCATATATTATATATTTGTGACATGAATTTTTATTGTTAGAAATGAAACTTTAATTATATTTTTAAAATTATTTGTAATATAATTAAGTTCAATATTAAGTTTTCAAATATTTGATTTGTTTTATTTGAAAAAAAACTTTTTTTATCAAAAAAGTTTTTAATAATTAAACTTAACACAAAAAATTGTTTTATTTATCAATTTATAAATAATAAATTATACATGTTATTATTTACCTTAAAATAATTATCAATAGGATATATTTTAATATTATTATTATATTATGAAATTAAATTTTGTAATCCTTTTATATTATTTTCAACTTTTAAGGAATTACAAAACTAATATCTAATTTTTTAATTTTTTATTTATATATTTTTTTATTGTTTTTTAATCATTTTTATCAGTAGTAATAAATATTAAGATAAAGATAAATATAGAGATAAAAGCAGAGTTTGAAGTAAAGATAAATATAAAGGTATAAGTAAAGGTAAAGAAGTAAAAATAAAAATAAAAATAAAAGTAAAAAGCTCATTTAAATTATCATTGATACTAAAGATGATCATCGCAATTAAAAAAAATAGTGTAATTGAATTGTAACTTATAGTGCAATTAAATTCTCTTATAATGCAATTAAGTTACAACTAGAGTTCCGAATGAGTCGAGTCGAGTCGAGTTTAAAGAACAACTCTATTCGACTCATTTTTTTCGAGTCGAGTCAAGTCAAATTTATTTTATAAAATCTTTCAATTTGATTTGATT